ATAAGTACAATTTTCTTTATGATATTATGATGATGTATTTAATTTATTAATATTATGTCAGAAAGGGTGTTTAAAAATGTTTAAGCTGTTTTGCTCGAAATCTCTGCTAAAGGGCTCTCGACGACCAAGGTCGTAATTAAAGGTATCGGAGTACATTAACGCTGTTAATTGAGTATAACCGGCTAATAGACATGTCAGTGTATTAGTCGAATGTTTACAATTCATCGATTTATTTTAGTTGTATTGTATAAGCGTAATTATTGTTTTCTTAATGTCAAGCGTAATTATTTTATATGTACGATTCACATAATATAATGGACTCCCATTTATTACTAATTGTTTATTACAATATCGAAATTTGGTGAAAATTGGATAAAATAATACCAAAAGATATTACAGTAGATTTTGTGAATTTTATGATGTTATAATTATTATAATCTCCAATGTTCCTTTGCATTCGACGCTTAACGATTTATTAGCACTATTTTATTCCTAATTATTTGCAATTTACGTTTACGTTAGGGATCTTATCTATTTGTTTTTATCAAGCCTTAATACCTAATAATAATAATAATTAAGAGCTCGTGTTCGGCCGGCATGCTATGTACACAAACTACTCTCAACGTGGTCGTTACATCTTGCCGCAGGCTTATTGAAGTTTACTACAATGTCCATTTTTTTCCTTCCGTTTTCATTAACTAATGAATAGGTCGAGATTCAATCTTTAAGCTCCAGTAAAAGTATTACATTTTCAAACTATAATATATTTTTTTTCTAGCCTTGTTCGGTTGCATTGTTTTTGCGCCAGTCATATCCTTTGGACCGATATGCGCCAAGACAAGATGGTGGCAACATATTTATCATTTTTTTACCTGATACACTGGTCCCATTTTTTTTTACATTTGTACCGTGAGTTTTGATTAAAGGGCAAACGCTGGTCAAGATGGATTCGCCGATTTTATTTCTCCTGTTATTACAATATATACATAAATGTATCTAAGCGATTTAAATACTTGGACCTGGACACAAACATATTTTGATTTTTAATGTATAATGAGAAGAAATATTCAGAACTCACCTCTCTGTCAAATGTATAAGTTTCGTCAGATTAGTAAATTTAACCGTATTCGCGGAATGTAGATAGTTATTACTTATTCTTATTAGATTTCACAGTAAAGTAACGAAATGTGTTGTATCATAGATATAATGTTACCTTGTCGATTTCCTTTTGTTTTCATTGTAATTTTTGTTTGTATTATTATTAGTTTACTTGTTACGGTACAATGTTATGTTCGGAGCAAAGTTTCCAGAACGATATCGACGAACGCATTTCATTTTTAAAAATTTTTTTTTATCATAGGTCAATAGTAAAAATTGCATTCGGACTATTTAAGCAGTCGCATGTGGTGTAAACACACTGGTTAAATTAACTGTACTAAGTTCATCGTATTATTGGTCTACGATATACCTAATATACAATGCTCAAGCGGGTCCTAAACGTTTACCGACGACCGGATGTATAATAATGAATGAATCATAGTCTGCTAGGGGTAATGACTGTATAGTAAGTGTGTGTTTTGAATAACAAAAATATGAGTTTAAGAAATGTCCAGGCCGCTTCGTACTTACATTGTATATTAATATTAATGTACAAATAGTAACACCGCGACGTTTAGTTTATCTAATCGTAAGGCTACCACATTGGCTTCAACAAATTTTAAATTTTAAATGAAAATAGACACTATTTTTTACGCGCTTAGTAAAACTGCACACGACGCATAGAGTTAAAACAATACGACCAGCATTTCCATGAAACATAAACGTTCGATTTTATTAGCCGAAAAAATTCACCTTTACCTTCCCTAACCGTATTCAAATCTGTGATGTTCTTTCAAGTTATAAAAAAATTAATTATAGGACTGAAAATTGTACAATAATTAATGTTCGGGGGCTTATTCATTTCATTTTCCGGCTCTTGTAATTTTCTGAATATTTTCCGCTTATATGCCTTTAGATACAACTGCCATGTACGTAATTTTTAAGCACACAGTTCCGGTAATTTGTCATAATTGAATTCGGTAGGCGTAAACATGGGTAACGCGACGCATTTAGTACAATACTATTATCACTATATTATTACTCTTACTATTATTATTATTATAGAAAAACGAGCATTACGACCTTGTAGCTAAATTATTATTGTGGTACGAAAATCATAATAATTACATATTTACAGCGTAGTGTAAAGATATACATTTTGCAAGACCAGAGACGCGCATGTAGCGGTCGATTTTAGTCTAGTTTTAGGGCATAAATTAAACGGGTTTTACGGGTTTGATAAAAAAAAAGGTCTGAAAATTGTTCATCGCTTCATGCAATCAAGATCATACTTTTATTATACACACACACACTTATATGTATGTATATATGAAACGGAAAAGAGAGTTCGTTGCTCAAAGGTTATCTCGAGTCCACTGATTCCACTGATTGTGTTCCTATTACTTATATTTATTGAATTCGTGCAAGTACAGTCCTATACCGACCGATAAGATTTGGTAATTATTATATATTCTGTATATTATTATTATTGTATAATCCTTTTCTATGGGTTTTATTTACATTTTACATTTTATTGTTATTGTTTTCATCGTCGTTTGATATACTCCTATAGTCCTATGTAATAAATTATTACATAGGAGTATAGGTATTATTATACTGTTATACTTTCCAACCTTTTACCGTACAGTTCGTTGCACACAATCTATATGCATTACTCTACGCCAAATGTAGGTATTACATATTATAATAATCATCAATCAACGTACACGTTTTGTGTAATCACTGCGTGCTCTGTCCGAATTACATGGTTGAAGTGTTTTGATTCCTGTGGAGTTTATAAAACAATAAAACCGGCAATGTAGTGATTTTTTAATTTTATTGACTAACCGCAGACAATAAACATTTCACAACCCGTTCACGCCTTAAATATTATTATTATTTTTTTATCGTCTCAACAATTGATTTGATTTACCATATCCGTATATGGGAAAATCTTAATCAACTCTATCGTATATGACTTTCAAATCCATGTGTGTGTATGCTTAAGAATTACCGTTATACTTGTGTTATCTATCTTTAATAGTTGTTGAGGAGATTAAACGCGTCGAGTGCACCTAGAGTGCATAATTAAATTATAGTAGAAAATGTCAACACTGGATTGTGGTCGGTATGGTATCACGTGTAGAGTATATCGTTAAATTATTGTAGTTTATTATCTACGGCAGCGTTTTCTTTTATTTGTTGTATAGTTACACAACGTATTGACTAATATGATAATATAGCGAGAGTAACATTCTCTAATTTAAACAACTTCTCATAAACTCATCTGGAGATCACACGGGCTAAAGTCCGTGCAATTCACCAACCGAGCTAGCCAAGTGACTTTTAAATAAAACTATTATGTAACGTTTTAAAATAAAAATGGACATCTGCTATGTAGATAGTATATTTTCAAAAATTGTATAACGGTTCTCCTGAAAAAGTTGGTTTTGTCTTTTTTTTTATTACCAGCTTTCCAATTTATAACTAAAAATAATTATAGTACACAATTCAAAATTACTTTTACAACTTATCGAGCTTATCATGACAAACTAATAATTTATATCGGGTTACGAGTTAGACCCTTTTGAGGTGGCTCCTAATTTACAGTACCTTATTGGGTCGGGTTTGAAGACTTTCAGGGCCTTTGGCCTTTTAGAATCCATAAAATATGGCACCATTTAATATTAGGTAACCAAATAATCCGTTGGGAAGACTTATAAAATATGTCCATCGGAGATTAAAGAACAAAAATTCAGATTATTTAAACAAAATCTATTAAAACAAAAAAATGTCTGTAGTTTTTTTGTTAATGCACTTCAACTGATACTCCTCTCAATAATCTCAATTATAGATTAGCAAAAGCCTTTTTTTTTGCCGCGGTTGACATAACTTTATATAACCTATATATCACTATTATACACGTAGAACTCTGTGACCTTGATTTCGTTGCGTAATAACTATAATTTAACTATAACACTTGCTGATGAAATGTATATGATTAAACATATAGGCACAGGAGCATGACAAGTAAGCACTCTCAGCGTAGAGTACTTACTTATATATGTACTAGAACCCTAGCGGTCACGCGGCCCTAAACAACCGTTGCGTGATGACTTCGACGAAGAATGATTTCTTGATATTTTTTAGTTTAGGTGATGCGAAGCTGAGAAAGTTTTCGGGCGTCAAGAGAAATATACATGTTTTGGGCAAAGTAGATGGCTTATAACTTGAATGAAAAGTATAGGTACTTTTCAAACTTTTTTCCGAAAATATTGAGCAATTTAAACAGCTATTTAAATGTTAAAAAATGTACCATAAACCGCGGGCAGTTTGAACAGACGAGTACGCAGTAAAAATACATAGCTGGACCAACTAAAATTAGAAACACAATAAATGTATAGTTGCAATACTCAATAAATAGTTGCTTTGACTAAATATTTAGTCGAGCCATAATTATTAACTATATTAACCATAATTTTAGTTGGTCAACTATGTATTTTTTTCAGTGTAGTTTGTAAAATTTGATTACAAATAAAAAATAGAATGTGGGAAGTAGCGTAAAAACTGTTTAATTTGGATGGTCAAGGTTACGACCGACGACATGCATGTGTTTAAGTGTTACACAGCCGGCTCAAATGCCAAGCAGAAAAAAACTGCACAATTTTATATTAAATATTATGGTTGTTCTGTGTGTTTTAATAAACAATAATAGAAAGTAAATTCGAATAATGTATTGTACTAAATGTTGCTCTATGTACATCAGACATTGTAAAGACTTCCCAGTCATAATAAATATATTATGTGACAATTTAAACATTGCACCGTCTAATCTGGTTGCCATAGAAAATTGTTTTCTATGTCAACCGGGCGTCTCATTGACTCACTTAGATCCGACCTACCTTGTCTGTACGGTGTGTACTTGCTGCGCTGTTCACGTTAAGACCCGTGTGTCCAAACCGACCGTTAAAATGTACACGATGACGGCGTAAATTATTGAAGTCAAAACGTGTAGGCAGCCAGCACTTCGCTTTATTTTATTAAAGGTGCGATTGTTCAAAGTCAAAAATTGCCCATACGTCACCGATGAAATATTTCTATTTCATTTCCGAATCACTCGAGGACGATTTGTTAGCATAATATTTTTTGCCACGAGAATTCACGACCAGTTCAGTGTTATACAAAAGGCGCACTATGTACAGCTATATTGTATTCTATGTATAGTAAGCTAACAGTGTATACAAGTACTGAGTAAATTTGATTTTTATTGCCCACGGATTTTCGACCCAGTCGTATAAAATAACAGCTTATGTTTCATTTATTTCTATTGAAAAAAATCAACCCAGCTTAATAATGATTAATCATGCGAATTAATCCACACCTTTCAAAAAATTATCGAAATACTCATACTCGAAAGTGTTATCAAGGCGAGCTTGAGTATATCTACGTGTTGCGGGCCACATATTATACATAGAAGGTCTTAATCCGTGCTAGAATACTAAAACCTACGACTGAAGTGTGTACGTATCACGACAGGCTCGAGCACTGATATATTGGGTTATCTTAATCCAATAATGCAATGGTACCTATACACTTAATGCGAATATATTTTTAATAATAATAGTTCTATTCAAATTATAGCATATTAGAATTATAGTAAAATAATCAAATAACTATCTCAATAAATAACAATAAATTAAGAATTTGAGTTTGAGGGATATGTTTATTGTGCTAGTTGAATTTAAAAGAAACTTGTTTTATTTAGAATGCCATTGGTTCAAGTGTATTGGTTCAGTTTCAAAACCTGTGGGCTGTGTCAAATCAATAACTAATGTTGGAACAAAATTTAGATAACTTAATGTAACAAAGTATTTGTTGATTATTACTATTGTAGAAGCACATTTTAGGCAACGGCCTCGCCAATCGTTATTAGCGACTTGGGCACGTATAAAGCTCACGTGGACGACTCGATCGTGGTGTTCTGCAATTTGTTATCCTCTGGCAAGTGACTCTGGTTTTTTTCCCTTGATAAGACTAATACTGCCGACATATAGGCTTATCTCTAGTGAGTAATGTATATTATAACATGTTAAACGTCACTCGTATATTGTGACTCATTTGAGGCAAAATATTTATAAGAAAACATAAAAAAATACAAAAATCGTTATTTGATATGTTTTTATAACGGTTTACTTGTTCAATTTCGTATTGAAGCGATATTAGTTTTTTTTTACTATATTGGTTGTAGTTGACACGTTTTGAGTCGAGTACGGTTATTTTATACATAAATTCATTTTCAATGGTCTTTTATAATAGCTTTATTTGCATTCATCTTAACATACATGCGAGATCTTAACATTTAACATCTTTTACGTAAAACGATTATTATTTTTTACCAATTGAGATGTAGAAGCGTATAGACTCGACTAATTTCTTTAGAAGTATACGATTTTTATGTAAAAGGTTTTAATTTCATTGACTTTGGGGTTTGAAAATTAGGGAAAGCAAACTTTTTTTGACGTATTACTTCAAACCGTTGGTAGCTTTTTTATTTAACAGTTAATGCCTAATAGGGCAACCAAAACTGTTATATTCGCCATAATAATGTTAGATATGACGCGCATGGTGATAACAAACAGAAGTTCGGCTTTTATTATTAAAATATGCCTATATTTATGTATATATATATATATATATATATTGTTGCCCGCTGTTCTCGAGCACCTTTTCACCGGTTAATGATTGCCGCCGCGGTTTTCTCTATTGTATTCCGAATCGCCTGTACCACGACAATACCATGACAGAATTCAATTATTTCCTCGTACGTTAGGTTTTATAATAACAATGTACTTACTGTAGGTACAACAAAGTCAAATAATAGCTGATGTTCATCGCGCTGTTTTTCTATTTTAACACAGTAAACGCGACTTACAATAGCGACGACAATGCACTATGCAGGCCGCTTCCTGCTCCCTCTCCATTTTCGTGTAAATAATTATACCTATATGGTGTGTATATAGTAAATTCCCAGGTCTTATAATCAAAACTGCGGTTCCAAAGAAAATCACACTATGTAAAAGTGGCCTAGCATTGCCCGCAACGCTAGTGCACGATGTCCGCATACTCTAAGGCCGTTTTATCCTTGTTTCGAAACTGCTATGTATTAATGATTATATAATACGTTTGCGGACTGGCATCGCGCAGTCATCATTAAAACTCAATATCATAATAATAATTGTTGAGCGGAAACCATAGATTACATTTTCTAGGTCCGACGGAAATCCATCAGCTATCACACGGATGTGTCCGAGCAGTCTCTCCGTAGTTTCGACACGGTCAGTGCATAAGTACAACAAACGCATAAAATGCATCGCAACAGAAATCACGGCGTTCGACTGGAAATAACAATTTTTTTTCGATTTAAAATTTGTGTATAATTAGATACACGTATGGTCAGTCCATATTAGTATTACATTCGGGTCAGACAGTACTACTAGGTACAGGGTGCTGACGCCGTTACTAGGTATATGTGTCCGTCGTCGTATAAACGGCTAGAGGCTGTTGAATATTATAGTAAATGTGAATAAAGGTGATTCGTCGAACGCAAGCGAGCTGTATAATATTATGTAGTTTCTTGACGGTTTTTAATTGATAGTGAAAATAGAATAATTATGATATATGCGCGCTGACTGTAATATTCATAATAATTAATTGGTTCGACCTTCGAAATGTCTTTGTCGGAGTGGTAGGCGCAGATGGTGTGACAGTTTTTCGATGGACATTATACGGGTCGACGCATCGATCGATTGATCGAAAATATTCGGCTTTATTACCTATTTGCTTAAAATCGTTTGGTCAAAATATTTGTTTGGCAATGCAGGTCAACGCTATGAAATGTTTATAGAAAAAAAAAATGGTTATACAATTTTTGAAATGACAACGACTTGTTATTGGCGATAATTATAAATCAGCAAACATCAATATTAAGAAATTAGGTTAGCGAAATTTTGGTAAATTGATGTAGTAATATCAAGCTCGAAGCTATCCGATTTACAGCTTTCAATATTATGTGTACTGTATCATCGTGATCATTTTTATACAAATTACAATAATATAGTATAAACAGCTCAAGTAGTATTTTAACTTTTGACTGAGGTATTGATTTTACAAATACAACATGTTTGTATAAAATGTATTTTTTTGTACACCCAAAAATAAGATAACATTTTATAATCGCTTGTCGCTGGACCAGTTTTACTGATCAGTAACGCTGTCGATCCGAAATTTAATAAGGTATTTGTTATTGGTAATCCTAATTCCTACCATTAATGTTGAAAAAGTATATGACCTCACAAAATATGTTTTTTTAAAGCAAAATTTGATAAAGCATAGTTTGCATCGGCTTGCGTGGGTGGATCAAATCAGTATACTTGTATTATACGTCTTATAATGTATATATAATTACACTATTGTAACATTGTATGCTTTCAGTGCAATTTTTGATAATGAAAACCAACAATAATGCAACACCAGTTTTATATTTTTTTTTTGGGGGGGGGGGGGGTTAGTGATTGAAAAACATTGGTTTCACAATGGAATATCGCAAGATAAGTCTCAAAATCTAACCATAAGAAGTTTTTATTAATCAATGTTGATAAAACAAATATAATAAGAAATCAAATAACAAGAAGATGTTAGTATACGAACAAATATTTCAAAATAATCAATAATTTTCCTTAAAAAATTCTGTTAAGATTCCTACTAAATTATCAAGTTTTCTAAAGAATCACTACAGTAACTAACTGAATCAACTTTTCCCTAATTAGCGACCTTCGTGGAGTTAATGGTCGTTCTAATGGTTTTCATAATGATTTCTAACATATTTAAACATTAAGTATATTAAAAAATAATAGTTATTTGAAAATTCTCATTTTTAAAAGTATATAAACATGTAGTTTTTTTTATTGCTGAAATTAATGTATATATTCATATTTTACCAATAATAATTAAACGAGAAATTTAAATAGTGAATAATGAATATATAAAACAAATATTAAGCATTATGAATTTGTTACTTGAGTGGAATGCGCATTTTCTCTTTAGTCACGTTAAATCAATATTAGCATTGCAAGTAGCTCGTTATACATTAAACAAATGTATTTCGTTGGAGGCCAGATAACGTTTGATAAACATTGAAATTTCAAAGAATTTGTGTCAAGTTACTTCTTCAACCATTTGAAATCGAATATTTATACAGTTTTCCAGTACGCCGGTATAAGTAAATTTCATAACTGGTTTTCCTTGAATAAAATAAACATAATATTGTGTTTCTTTAATGTCCATTCAAAGTTTATCGAGTTAAAAGAAAACCATCTGATAGGTAAACTATAAAGAAAATTTAGATTGCGTACGGTCAATATTGTAAATACTCATGTCTAATACAGAATACTAACTAGCAAATAGTAACCTAAATAAATGGTCATCGTTGTTTGATTTATACAAAGACCAAAGTCATAGTGTACATAGTTTCCAAGACTATAATATATTAGTGTATAATATTACACCGGGTATATAATATGAATTGTACAGGGAAACTACTGGAGTGTAACAACTTTGGCGGTTGTTTATAAGATTTCTTTAAATACATTTAAAATCATATTCCACGTTTCGAATTTAATACTAATATTTCTAAAACGTTTTTTGGATTTTCGTTTATTAATCGGCAATTATATTATTAAATATTTTAAAACAGTTGGATGAACCATTGGTTTTTTTTTGCTCGGGAAAATCTGTTTATTTATACTACATTTTGTTGGTCGATACGAAAAGTGCCATAAACTCTAGTTTATCGACGGCTAATTGACGTTCAACTAACACCGAACTTCCTTCAAGACGGCTATCGATTGTACGGTTAGGAGAGAGGGTTGATTGAGCGTTCGGTTTGATAGTTTATACGTTATTTTAATTTATCAAATCGAAAACCCCAGAATCGTCTATAATATACTTGCCTATCTTAATACATGAAACGTTGATAGGTACTATACTGTTATGTTAGTATATTGTATGGATTTGCGATAATAACTCTCTAAAGCTGACCAAAGTTCATACGGTTTTCAGTTTAATACCGTCCGTCAAACGACCGACCGGCGCGCAGCACATAATCTTCACATGAAGTTATTTTTTTATTAATTTTTAAGCAGCCCAATCCCCAAAAACCGCCGTAAACATGCGTGTTATTAGAGTGCTGACCGCGTTAATTTATAACTGGAAATCTTCACCGACCAGCTATCCCCTGGCCGTACCCGAAGACGGTATGAGACCTAATCAACCCGAATCGACTTCTGTGTTTCAGAACCTAAACGGAAGACTTGTGTTCGCCATCATAGCGTCGGCGTTCGGTTCGGCCTTCCAGCACGGATACAACACCGGCGTGGTGAACGCACCCCAAACCGTAAGTACCTAACTTGTATAATATGATATTAAACGTAATGTACATATAGTGTTAAGGGCAACGAAAAGCGTCAAATTGTATACAAATAAAGTCTAAAGTCACTTTGCAAAGTGTCTACGGAACCGATCATTTAAAAACAAAATGATTTTGTTAAGTCTAAAGCTTACTATCTCCTCTACGGGGGAATAAAACATCGATTTTGTTATTTTTGTATTTAACAATTATTTATAAGCGTTTATATTTTTGCTTTTCATAGGATTTTCTAATAAATTTACCTAATTATTTTTAATAGCTAAAAAAAATCGATCTTTAGCCCCCACAGAAAAAATAGTATCTAAGCTTCAGATAAAAAAAAAATAATAAACCTGAACTTTTTTCATCTTAAAATTAGTTGGCATATTTAAAATGATTAGTAGATAAATTTTCTTTAAATATTGCCGATCCTTTGGTCTTTATTAAACAGCCCTTTCTGTCCCCCTTTACTTAATCACAACAATATACTAATATATTATGCAGAGCAACTACTAGTAGGTTTTCTGAAACAATAACATAACAGCAGCCATCAGCAACCTGTTAAAATACGGGTTGTTAACAATATTAATTGTTTTTTAGAAATGTCGTTAAAAAAATATTACAGATAAATTGTTCATTGGAAATATTTCAATGTCTCTAATCATAGTGTTATTGAAACGATTTTATATTTTTACTTTTGACGGCAGAATAGTGAAATATTAAATTCTCCTAAAATATCGAGTGTTAGTAAAAAATTACATGACTTTTATCTAAAATATTTAAACAAAAATCCAAACTTGTTTTTTAGGAGCCATTTAAAATAATATCAATTGGTATTTACTTCTTAAATGTTCATAAAATATAAAAATAACAAGTATCGTATGCTTACAGTAACTATTTAAATTTTAGATTTTTTTTTATCAAGGTAGTTTTGTTAGAATCATTAAATATATATTTGGCCAAATTATTTATTTAGTTATTCCAACTGTAAATGTCATGTGTATTTTTTCCCTGTGTGTAGATACTCAACTGTTTTGTAAGTTACAATTTGTCAAACATTAATACAGTAATAATGTTGGAATTTACTCCTCATATGTGTATTATTGGTAAAATTGTTATGTTAGTAAAGTTTTAGATGTTCATGTAACTTATCGTATTATCTCAACTTATCTTAACTTATCGTATGTCATCAAATGCAACCGGCCCACAATATGTAAGCTCAATCCTACATGACTAAAAGACATTTTTTTATGGTCGGTTTGAATTTTAAAAAGTGGAAAATATTGTTTGAGATAATTATTTTATTGAAATCGCATAAGCGATAAAAAATTACCACTAGTTGGGTATTTAAAAAAAATAATAAACGCTGGTAACTCCTCATTCAAGTTATAAAAATACACGTATTTCCATTGTTGATTTTTACCAAATGAATTTTATAGTTCAGGTTTTACTATCGCGTTTAATGACCACTTGCTATGACTGATTTCCAATGATAAGTATATACTATGCTGTTTTTCCACGCGTTTATTCCAACTAGTGGTTGGAATAAAAATACACATAAAGGGCTGCAGGGAAAAAAGATCAATGTCAATTTTTTAACATTCTGAGAAAATCATGTTTTTAATTTCAAAACGTAATACATTTTGCCTGTATGCCTAAACTTCCGGTGGTCGTTACTCTCGACTAATCTATTTTTCCCTGGTCCGAGCGCATTAAAGATACAATACATCAATACAAATTATTTGATACCAAAATCTCATTTTCAAAAAAAATTTACATTGATCTTTTTTCTCCGCAGCCCTTCACATAATAACGACAACCTGCTTTAATAGTCGGTAAACGCGGGAAAACTGTCACTAAGTAAAATAAGGCAAGAAAAATAATGATACATTTTTCCTTACTCGTTACGCATTGATCTAGGAAATTTAATCAGGCAAAATAAAAAAAATAGTATCTGTGATAAACGCTGTGATAGGTTTTGGTGAAAACCCCTTAAAAACACTGTATTTATAGTTTAAGCTTATAAATAATAATTATTTTAAATTACTTGTAATAAGTAACATTAAAAGAAAGTGACGACTGACGCTCAGCACCTGAAATTAAGTTTTGTCTGTCGCTGCTTGATCCTAATGGATGAGATCACCTAAATTGTTTATCACGCTATGGTCCTAATACATATGTTCCACAGAAAACCCAAAACTAAAAATAGTGATAATGTTAAAAAAAAAACAATTCACAAAAAAAAAAAATCAATATGATTACGGTCCAACAATGTTTTAAGTGTAATTATAATTATAACGATAAGTAGCACATTAAAATAATTGTTATTATTATTTTTTGTTACAACAATATTAATTTTTTGAAATTTTTAGTTAATTGAAGATTGGATAAGGGGAGTGCTGTCGGCCAGAGATAATGGAGCACAAGTTGACAAGTCTCAGGTGACGTTAATTTGGGCCATTGCTGTATCAATATTCTGTTTTGGCGGTATGATTGGCGGTCTGTTGACCGGTGTCGTGGCTGAGAAGTATGGCCGTAAAGGCGGTCTACTTGTGTCAAACGTATTAGTCATCTTTTCGGCCCTACTTCAAGGTTAGTATAGATCAATATTCAAGTTGTGTGGCTGTTTCCACATAGAGGTTTTGTAAATTTAATTTGGGAGGCGTTACTAAAGGGGAGGACGACTAGTAATTTTGGTGGTCGTATTATCAATAAAATACAATTTTAATATTTTGTATCTTCAAATTTAAATGATATTTATGAGTTCAATAATCGTACGAGGTCTCTAAAATCGTAAGTGATGAGGAGTATTTAGAAAATTAACGACTTTTTCAAAAGCTCTTATAGGTTTCAGAAAGTACGATCTTTGAATCTACTGATTGTAAATTTGTTTATAAAATAATATTAACAACACTAAGTCGTATTGTCACCTTTTTTCAAGTCATAGACGTTATTGTTTGGACTAGTAGAGTGTTCAGTTGGCTGTAGATGTAAATAGGTATATCATTAAAAAAAATACTACAAATACTGATTACTTAATAAATGGTAAATCAAACATCATAATTTATATACCGTCATTAATTATTTGTAATTTAGTTGTCAAGAATGTCGACAATTTATTTTATTATTTATTATTATTTAATTGAACCGAATTAATATTTGTTTAACAATCATAAATTTTTTCGTTTGTTTCAATTATTATTTGTTTTGTTGTACTACTGTTATAAACATTTGGCGTATTATACTTTTTAAAATAATTGTTATCATGATGGTTAGCTTTTATTAAAAGACATTTAATATTATTGATTATTATTTAATTTATTATCATAATACATTTATTTAAAAGAAGATCTCGCTCACCTCGAGAAACATGATAACATCAGTCCTTATAAATAAATACATTTTTTTGTTTAAAACAATTATTTCAAGAAGAAACTCTTAACTTTTGTAGTATAGTTTTTCCATCTTGCAAAGCTACTGAAGTTGCACGTTTCAAACATTTCTCTACCCATTTTGTATTGACCAATTTGGAATACGATACATTATGACAAACCATTTGTAATCAATTATACTTAAATGGTTCATTACTAAGGCCATTTAGTATTTATAATATTCATATCCAATACCCACGAAAGCTTTATGACATTTGCAGTAAGAATTTCATACTATGACCTTTATACAAGTCATTTAAATATACATGCCCCTAGTTTTAAAGAACATTTTAGAGATAATTACGACAGGTCATATAGGTTACATTACAATCCGTTTTAAACTCGTGTGACACATTTGCCTGCCGAGGACTTATAGTACACGTATTACAAACAAACCTACACATACACCATCTGTAGTTGACCTGTAGTGTATGATGTTTGTCAATTGTACTTGCGGTATTCAATTTATTTTAATTGAGTTAAATGTTACTCGGCTGTGTTGTCTTCCTTCCGCCAAACATCATGTATTATAGGTACATACATATACTCTATAATAAGAAGAAACGAATAATAAAATTTATATTACAATTCAGTATTTCTTATTGATTAATACTCTGCGTTAATAGTTTTAATTTGCATATAAACATGTACCATACACGACTACAGTTATATTATTTATGTTTATTTTATACACACTATATTGTCATTCGGGTCGTGGAAAATTCCATTCGACGTATGCGGTTTGAATAAAATAGTACATGTCAAATGCGGTTACTTGAAAAGTTATCGTGACTTTAATGTCCTTCGTTAAGGTTTTTATGGGGACAAAGTGTAAAATCAGGCATTTTCAAGGCTGGACATTAACGAATTAAAAAGTTTTAAAGCTACTTTTTCCGATTACTCGTTAAATTAACGAGTTACTTTTTAATAAAAATGTTTAACAAGTTATTTTTAAAACAACAAATATGTAGTTACCTACAACGAAAAGTTAATTATCTACTTATAATGATATAATTTATAAAATCAATAAATTGACTCAAACAATAAGATTACAAACAGTAACTCTGGTTTTTTTTTTTAAAACATTTTTTCCTCACATTTCTAGAATAGTTAGTTTATTGTTTTGAATCATGATTAGAGACCGATATTACAACAATATATATATATATACTAAACTGTTATTGTTAGCATAAAAAACACATTTTTTCAATGATGAATACTTTATAATTCATTTTAAACTAAAAAACATTTAGGTTATCCTTTTTTTAAATAACTTTTAACTGAACTAAGTTACAGTTTTTTTTAAATATATTCTTAAATTATTTTCAACAACCTAATTTGATTTTTTTTTTTTTAATTTACGAAACTAGTAAATAAAAATTATACGTAGCCTTAGGCTATGTTTTATAATGATTTATTCTATCTATTGGTCAATAAGAACAAATAAACATTTTTTGTGCCACTAGCGTCCTAAATACATTTACTATTCTTTTTTTATTTCAAAGGCAATATAGAAAGAAAAAAGGTTGGATCGTTAATTAGTTCGTCATTAATTAAATAGGTGGTAACTAATCGGTTACATTTTTTTAAAATCCATTTACATATTTGTATAAATAGTCTTCATACAATATTTAATTTTTCATTTATATCAGTTTGATTTATTTTGTTTAAATTAAGTAGAATAATATATTTTGTAAAAAGTATATACTATGTTTTGTTGTTAAAAAAAGTACACTTGTGTTGGGTTGGCAAGTTTAAGTATGGGTTTACTTTCCCCCTAACATATAAGGTCGTTTTGTGCATTTTATTTTTCAATGCCTTCATGAATTGTTTATTTTAGATTACATATTGCTGTATACTTTTAATATATTCATTTTTTTCATCAGTTAGTACCTACTCGTAATTGTATAAATTTACAATACTTGGAAGTCTAATATGTAAAAATGTACAATTTTAGTCCTAATAAATAAGAGTTATACATTTTTTGCTTTTTAAATAGCTAATTTTTAAATGTTTTTAAAAATGTCAAACGCATTTGTTATAATATACATTCGAAATGAATAATAACGTAAGAATTCTTTTTAATAAATCGATTATTATCCGACTATATTTTTTATCATAATGATTAAACGATTTTTATTAGCATAAAATATAAACATACATAAAAAGTAAAAAAATCAACACTAGTTTTGCAGTTTTTCTTCGCAATTTTATTTTCTTGCATTGTTACACCTTAGGTCTTAAATTACTATATTACTATGCATAAATATATGTGCTGTATGCACTACAAACTATAATATGTATGCATTAAATGCATTTATTTTTGCGTGCAAATACTTTCACTGGCAAATGCACTTAACCATATAAGGCGCGACCAGGTCCTTGTGGACACACAGGACACGACAATGTCCAAACGGTAGTGGACATTATAACTTATTGTACTTTCATGTGCATCTATTTATATAATAACATATCGTGCAAGGTATACAGTTACAGCTGCAACACTGGGGTGACGTCAGCATGCCACGGCATATCGATTTAATAATAATACATTTTTGTTTGAAAACTCTTTTTGTTGTATTACAGGAATATCAAAAATGTGTTCGTCTTACGAACTGATTGTTGTCGGTCGTTTTTTGATTGGTATCAATTCCGGTCTTAACGCTGGCCTGACGCCCATGTACCTTGCCGAGATTTCGCCCATGAACCTCCGAGGATCTGTAAGAGCGTCATATTATATTTAACAATTTTTTTTTTGTTACATCGATTACCTACGCAAAAATGTAACTTGTATTTGATTTTCAGGTTGGTACGGTATACCAGTTGGTCGTCACGATCTCCATACTGATTTCTCAGATCTTAGGTCTCGATTACATACTGGGAACGGCTGATAAATGGCCCATACTGTTGGCCATAATTATCGTACCGGCTGTGTTTATGTTCCTCACTCTACCCTTCTGTCCGGAATCGCCAAAATACACTTTGATCAACAAGAAGCAAGACATGGAGGCGCAGAGAGGTGCACAATCTCACAATTGTCTACACATTGCCGAGTTGCACAAACAAATTATTAATATCTAATATTATAATATTTCTTTCAAAATCGTTAAAACTTGATCAATCGCGGTTTCTACTGTTTTTCTTTCTCCCCACTACTTCCATACATTTAAGGTTGGTGGCGAAAGTCCTTGATTTTTCCTTTACCTCCTTTGTTTCTTCTTTGTACATTCATTAGTCTTAACATATTTTCTCTTATATTTTTTTCTGTTAAATGAATCATGAAACACATTTATAAGACCACGGTTAGCTTAAATTAACGTTTATGCAACGCAGCAAATTATATACAAATTTATGTATATATTATATATATATATATATATATATATATATATATATATACATAACATTTGTTGAGAAACTGAGGTATTTTACAATATTATTTTTGACCAACAGGTTTACAATGGTTTAGAGGAACCATAGAGGTACACGAAGAAATGGAGGAGATGAGAGCTGAGAGCGATGCGATGAAACTGATACCTCGTGTCACCCTCAAGGAAATGTTAGTGAACCCGATGTTGAGCATTCCTTTGGGAATATCTGTAATGATTATGTTGTGCCAACAATTGTCCGGAATTAACGCCGTGAGTATCTACAGTATACTGATAAGTGATAAGTGTTTGTTTTTGATGGATAGTAAAAATGTTACAACTTTCAACGTTTTCTCCAAAATATCTAAATGATATACATTTGACTGATCTACTTGTTTTTTGCTCATCAAACAGGTCATGTTCTTTTCGACGAAAATTTTCGAAATGGCTGAAATGACGCCGGACGGTGCCAAGTACGCCACACTGGGAATGGGTTCCCTTAACGTCATTATGACTCTGACTTCGTTGTTCCTGGTCGAACTTTCCGGACGCAAGACCCTACTTCTTATCGGTTTCTCCGCCATGTTCGTCGACACTGTTTTGCTGACCATCGCTCTCATGTTTGTGGTAAGTATAGACCGTTGACAGAGACGGCTCATTCCCAAATGGATTTTCGCCGAGTCGCTCTGTACTAATATGTTAATGTCGTTTTCTCTTTAGAAAACTGCCGTTTGGGTGTCATACATGGCCATTATCTTTGTCATGGTGTTCGTGATTGCTTTCGCCGTCGGACCGGGATCCATCCCGTGGTTCTTGGTTTCCGAACTGTTCAACTCATCCGCCCGCCCTCTGGCCACCAGCATAGCCGTGGGAGTCAATTGGACTGCTAACTTTGTCGTCGGCTTGGGTTTCCTTCCTCTGCAGGTAACTGTCGTTAATGTTGTGGAAATGAATTTCAATTTCAACCAACGGTCAGAAAACAGTAGTAATACAACGGTCTAGTTGTAGTACTAGTATATATCTAAATAGATTGTTGTTGAACACTAATCAAACACTAAAATGTATGTAGAAATGCATACACAGTGTTCCTGGAAAATTGTTTTAAAAAAAATTAGATCAATACATATTGCTTTGACTTTCCGACTGTGAATCATTTCGTGTGAGAAACTGGAATGATATTGCATATTCAAATTTCTATCATAGTTATTAGAACATACTTCATAATGCGTGACATCAATTATTATTATTATCTAACACATATCTATAAAAAAAAACTTTGAAATAAATCGTGTTTCTCACAAAATCCTTGGCCTCATGGGTAAAAATAAACATTGTTTTTATTCGTATCGTATTTATTTGAGTAGTACAAGTCGTTTTCTAAAAAAATGTTATTACCAATTTTAAACAATATTTTCATGTAAAAATATAATCGCCAACAAAATTAACATTAAAAATATTGAAATGTTTTGACAATTAGGAATTAGTGCTGAAACAATGCCTGTGTATATATATATATATGCACACTATTTTTTTTAAATACTTTTTACATATCAATTTAAGTTTCAAAACAAACGCACTTAAAATATTTGGTTTTGTAATTACCCTGAGCAGTTTGACTTGCTGAAAATCAGCAATTAACCTACTGATAATACGGTTTACATAGTAGTGGGTGAATAAAAAATCGTCGATCGCCTATTTGGCATTTCTGACCAAGGAGAGAATTTGTCGCATACTCTCGACGGCAACCTATATTAACATGTATTTGTCTACTTTTTTCAGGAACTCTTGGGACCTAATGTGTTCCTTATATTCGTGGTGTTGCTCGCGCTGTTCGTTCTGTATGTAGCCAAGAAAGTTCCCGAAACCAAAAACAAAACGTTGGAGGAGATCCAGATGCTGTTCAGACAAGAGTCTTACAAATAAATTCAAACATTCAACGAACAGATCAAAATGGTCTCATGAGCTAGCAACACGTCGTTTGAACGTGATAAGCCACCGAAAAATAAAAGATTCATCGGATCGCAGCACTACCAACTATAACTTACGAATACCTTTTTATGTAATTATAACTATATATTTTTAGATTTTAATATAGAGAACAAACATTAAATATGTAATAAAAACAAATCGATATTAGTCGATATTAGGTTTACTGCTGTCATTTTTTGTCAGTAGTCGGTCGTATTTTTTTAATCAAAACACAAAACTGTATAGTAAAAAAAACCAATTAATTATACTTAGAAATATATTATATATAATGTTAATGTCGATAGTGATGGCATATTATACGATGATTGTTAACGGGGGAAAAACCGATATCTTCCATTAAAGTAACTTTATTTTAGTTTTTAATCTATTGAGTTTTATTCGTGTAGATATTTGTTGATAGATGACGTTTCATATTTATATAATTCACATATGTTTCATTATTGACTACAAGTCATTAATGAAATATATGTTTTTACTACTCGTGTAAACGTTGTGTTGTCATAGTATAACGATTATTTATTTTATTTTATGTATTTTTTATTTAATAAAACTATAATTTATGATGAGTGTATATTGCTTTTTTGCAAATTTTACTTTTTGCAGCTGTTAATGTAAATAATAATAATTATGTATTGTCTAGTTAGAGAGCATTGCAATCCTTAATCAGGACAATTTAGAAGAATCTGCTTACTTAGCTCAGATTTAAATCAAGCATCAATGGGAAGTTGTATAGTATCAACAATATTTAATATATTATACTAAAAAAAAAAATATTTATTTTATTAAAATTATGAAAAACATAAATAATACTTATGAATGAAATGAACTAATGTTGTGAAGTATATTAAGGCGTTCGGTATAGGCAATTTTTAGCATACATTATATGTATTATTTATATTTTTTAGCATAGTATTGAGAATTCTGTTTAATAGTTAATTATTTTATCATGCTATCATAGCCTTTATTAATGTTGCATAAAAAAAAGTTCTTCACTTTTTAAGTACAGTTTTGCTCAGGTAGAAAATAGTTTCATAGCTTATAATAAATAGTGGAACTTAAACGTTCTCATTACAACTAAATAAAATAGCATGGTAATTTCAAGAGACCAAGCCATATTTATTTTATTAACTTATTGTAAACCAAAAAATATCCATGCACTTATACAAGGTTGTTCGAGGAGGTATAGTTGAGTCATGCAATTTCTAAAAGTAATAATATCATGTTTATATTATACATTTTATAGACAGTTCTAACTTCTACACAAAATACAAATCATTGTTTTTGCACGAATAAGCTTTTAGCGTCTATTCTTAAGATACTTAATATTTAAAAAATATCATCAAGAAAAATCCTTACTACGACGACATTATGTTTAAGTTTTTTTTTATAATAAGAGTGAATACGGTTAGAGTTGATCTTCTGTGTATTATAACTTTTGTCCATATATTATAATTAACAATACTTATTTTTTTGATACTTGTTCACTACTGGTTCATTCCCACATAAAAAATGCATAACATTCAAAAGTAAAAATTAAAAAACAATAGCGGCCCTTGTCATTGGTTTTACAATGGTTTATTAAGTTGTTTTTTTTTCGATTTATCAAGCTTACTTCTAAATAATAAGGTATTTTTTTGTAAACTTTCTAATCATAAAAACTCTTTTAATTTTAGTTCTATTTGTAGTTAAATGATTTTTTTTATAACATTTTTACTTTGTAACGGCATAAAATATTGACTCCAACAACACCACACAGACTTATATTACAATGTAGGCGACTATTGTAATGGGTGCTTATCTTACTAAAAATATCATAAACCCTAGAAGGGGTAGAATTTTGTTCTTCAATAAACTTTTCAAGCAAAGTTTAAGGAATTTAGATCTGAAAATTAGACCAAAAGTAGATCTAGAATGGAATAATAACATATACAATTTTCTCAATAATCTGTAGTCAAACTTTTTTTTGTTTCTCGGTCAATTAGTATCTACTGATTCGCATCGAAGCGTTTATTTAAAAGTGATTTTATCACTTTCCGTTGTAATAATTTCTGTAGACCTGCGACCTCCCCGGTCCAACTATGCTCCGACCCCACTGCACTAGATTTTTTAAAATTGATCTTTATACCAAGTTCGAAAACTTATATTTTCAATACAACTTTTCTTACATTGATACATTATTATTATTGATATATACAATTTTTGTTAAGTATTAATTAAAAGCACAATAAAATAGAAAGATCGCCAGTAAAAGGTATTAAGATATAATTATAAATATTAAATTGATGAAATAGGATATCAGAAATGGAGATGACATTATTTTACAAAAACTCGTCGGAAATTGAAGTCCGTTTTAAAAATTTAAATCGGGTGGATGGGTGAACTTCGATTTGGTGTAAAAATTATTGGAAAATTAAAAATGATAGAAGCCCCTTATAGATATTCTACAGTTGTAGAACATAAACAGAAAAAAAATGTGTACGTTTAATGAGAATCTATCATTTAAAAAAAAAATTGTATATTATATTATACTCTGGCGATCGTTACTTGAAATTAAAAAAATCATTATCCAAACTCAAAGTTTTGAAGAGGTTCGTACATTAAGGGTGAAAATGCAAACCTTCATTATACACAAATATATATATATATATATATATATGTTTGATTGATAGATTTACATACTTTTCTTTAACTCACAAACACGTACGACTGTACGGGTATTTTTCAAATCTGGCAAAATTAATTTAACCCACTCCCGATATCGTAGAGGGCTGAAACTTGGCATAGACACTCATCTCGGATGACAATACAATATCCTGTAATAATATTGGGACTCGGACATCCAGGTCACCGTACACAAAGTCATATGTGGGGGAGATTTTACTAAAATGTCATGTTTTTTTCAAATCTTCCAGACACAAAAATAAAAAAACATCTGTACATACAATACCTTCTCAGCTCAAGTTTTACTGTTCGTTATTTATTGCCCCTTAAAACTCGACAGTTGGTTCCGCCGTTATCCTGTATATTATCACGGGATAAGTTAGTATTATTTTTAATTAAATTCATAAATATAACATTGACAGAATTCTCGGATTAAAAATTTATTAGGTACACCTTCCACGAGTACCATAAATTTATTATAAAAGCAAACATTTTCAAGAGTGCTTATATTTTATACATAAATACTAGCTTCGCCCGGGTTAATAAATACAATTGTAACAAAGTACCCACAAATTTACACACCTTAACCTTCATCGTTAAACACTCCATCCATTAAAACGAAAAAGTCTTGAAACTGTTATGAAATCGTCAAATTTTCACAGTAAACAGAGGAGAACTTTTTCTGTCCTTAAGCGTTTATACATTTTGGATTACTCAATCCACTATTTTTTTAAATAATTGATTAAAAATTAATAAAAATCGGCAGTTGGTTCACCCGCACCTTGTATATTATCACGTTATAAGTTGGTATCGTTTTAAATTAAAGTCAGATTATGTGGGAAACTCTTGACTAAGTCAAAAAAAGTCGGATTTTATATGAACGATGAAAAACGGAATACATGATGATAAGTTGTCAAGATAAAGAATATCAGCAATGATAATTTATGAATGTATAAGGGCATATATTTAAAAGAGTGACACATTTTAAGTACTTGGGTCACCTTCTAACGAAAGACAACGACCTGCAAATGGAAATCAGTACCAAAATACAAAATCATTATAAGAGATTATTTGGCCTTGGAAAAATACTAAGCTCGAGAGCTATATCAGTTAACCTGAAAATATAGATATATTACGGCTCTAATATGACCTATAACACTATAGGCCTCGGAGACGTGGCCACTTAGAAAAATGAAAGAAACAAGATTAAAAGTTTTTGAAAGAAGAATTTATGGCCCCTGTATCGACACCCACACGGGAGTGTGGCGTGAACGACATAACTGTGAATTCGAACAACGGTTTCAAAGACTAGATAATGCAAAAGAGATTAAAAATAAAGAGGCTGACGTGGGCAGGTCACGCGTGGCTAAAAATAGGTTCAATAGTTAGAACAACTATCGAGGATAATCCTATCGGTAAGAGGACACTGGGAAGATTACGACTGCGCTGGGAAGACTGTGTGAAAGCGGACGTGGGAAGGATTCGACCAGATATACCATGAAGGATAGCAACAAAAAAGAGGGATGGACGGAGAGGAATTTGGCGATATGATTTCAATAACCGAGAAACCCTCCCGCCCAAAAAATACATCATTGTAGATATAATACCTTTTCAGCTCCGCATTGAAGCCAAAATATGCATAAACGTAAATTATATAATGTTTTCTATGTTAAGTTCAGAAAAAAGTTTAGTTTCATTCACAAGCGGATACATGTGTGTAGGAAACATGTGTAGAATATATTTTTGATAACAATTTAGTCTTATGACTACGTTTTTTAATTCACAGTGGAATACACCTTATTTTTGTTTTATATTTTAAGATAAAAAAATATTTATTACGTCTAGAGGTCATTAAGCATAAAGTTTCAAGTGTGTATTTACTGAATCTTTTTTGTAATCAGTATAACTAAATTGTAAAAATTGTAAAAACACGCGACATCAAAATTAACACACTTGATATTATTATCATAACGACGGAGAATAAAAAGAACACACGTCTACGGTTCTTATGTAATATACGTAAGTCTCAATAAGCTATGCTTATAATATGCATTGTAAAAACAACGATGACTGCTTTAGTTTCAATAGAAATTAAATTTGATAAAAACACAAATCGACTTCTTTAGTATTCAAAACGGGGTTGCATTTATTCTTATTGATATTGCTATTAATTAAACTTCAAATATCTTATAAGTTAATATTATTTAAAACCAGGGAATCGGAACTATATATTGTTACAGGTTACTCTTTTCCGACCTTGTCTAAAATTTAATTTTAAGAAATAGAATGAATACCATAAGGTGTTTATAATAATACGTTACCATTATTACATGTCATTGCTTATAATAATATATACTATTGAAAAATTTCCACTATAAATATTTCCTTTTTTTTTGTTCTCTTCTATTTACTGTGAACATATGGAATTTTAACAACAGTTTCAAGACTTTTTCGTTTTAATTCATTAAAAACAGCTAATAATAAATAACTTACATGATATTTCTCTAAAAAAATACTGTAATAGTCTTAAAATAAATTAATAACCAATAAGGAATCCACATTACTGTATATTAAAGAACTCACTATATTTAAAGCTCTAAATTAAAATTTTGTGAAAATTGCCTGTACTTTAATCTTTAATCAACGTGTTAGTTGCGTCCTATTAAACATTTAAAGTCGCACATAAACTTTTTTCTGCTAAAAATAAATTGGTTATATCGCAATGATTTTACAGAATGGCATGGCAACCTATGTAAATCTATCAATCAAACAGTGGCGTATATAGGATATAATTTCGGGAGGGGGGTAGGGGTTTAAAATAAGAATAGATTTAATTAATATTATAAATTAACTTTGGTTAAATGAATTCGCACATGTGCCGTACCAACCACAAATTTCGGGG